CTTAGGAAATTTCATGTTTAAAAGACCACATTGACTCATCACCTCAGGCTGAAGAAACAGGAAAATCTGAAATACCCTGTGTAGGATTCCATGGTGGTTCATGTCCTGAATAATAGACATGCTGCCTAAGAAACCTACCCAAGTGGCAGGACAAGTGTTGTCTACCTGAAAAATAAGCCTCTATGGGAAAACTGCTTTTCTTTTCCTAAAAGTGTTGTAAAGCCAGGGGTCATTCTGCATGTCGCCCATCTGTTTAGTGTTCCACCACAACTGGTAGCTGTAATTGACTGAAAAGGCTGAAAAATGAGTTTAGTTTACAACCTCCCATGCAAAGTGACTAAGAAGGTGTGATCAAGAACCCATGTTAACTGTATACAATTATTGCAGAGGAAGAATGTCTTGATTGAAGAAAATTCTTCCCAAAGTAGCCTAAAATGTTTTTCATTTCACCTCTAACTTCTGCTGCTAGATACTAATTATTTACAGCAAACAGACATCCAGCTACTACTGACCTGCATCTGAGTTTAAAGACCTTGTCAATAGGCACTGTAAGCATGCTGCCAGTCCTTGAGACTTGACAAACAATGCTGGCTGAATGGATGGCACTGGGAACTGAGAATGAACACAGGCACATTGAGGGAGAAGACTGACCAGTAAGTTATGTTTGTCCCCACAACTGGTGTCAGCTGTGACTGCTCAATATTGATTGGGGCAGTATCTCTAAATAAATCTGTCTACATTTAAACTTAAGGATTTATAAGATCAACTTGCATATAGAAATAGTTATCATTGGTTGACTGCCTACCATTTGCCAGGCTCTGTGTTAAGACCTTTACATATATCATCACATTTAAATTCTCATAAAGAGCGTGTTGTAATAACTACCAACATTTATTAAACCATCACTACATGCCAGATTGTATTGACAGCCTTATATATACATGTCTCATTTAATCCTCATTATCCCATCTGATGTGGCTATTACTATTACTTTTTCTTAACAAAAGAGGAAACTGGGTTACGGTCAGGGTAGGAAACATGAGGCTGTCACACAGTCAATAACTGAATCTCTCTCTCTAGGGCTTGTCCTTCTAACCACTACACAGAAATGCCTGGCTGTAAGGAAGAGGGACTCATCACCACAGTTTTAACAACCAGGGAACTTTAAGTACCTTGCTTAAGGCCACTCTTAGAAAATTGTAAGAATGGTGAGAATTTCAGTGTTTTCTTCCCAAACCTTGGGTCTGCTTTTCTAGTTCTCCAACTGCCTCCTATTCTAGACAGCTCTGATTAAATGTGTTCTTCAATGATTGGTGCACAGGGTTTAAACTTTGTTAGAAATTATAAAGAAGGAAAAAAATGGGGATTCCTGTTAGTATAAATGAAGCCATGGCACCTGAACTATGAAAGGTTGAGCCCCAAGGTGGGCCAGGAAGCCATTCCCACTAGATCAGCTGAGAAGTTTTCCCTGAAGGCAGGGCTTGACGCTAGCAGAATCATTAAAGCATTTCTTTTGGATTACATGCTTTTCTTTATTTTCTAAATAAAGAAATTTTCTAAATTTTCTACCATGAGCATATATTACTTTTAAAAGTAAATGTTCACAGACAATACATGAATACACTCTCATGTTAAAACATACAACTACACAAAAAACCCTTCCCTTAAACTCTTACTTTCTCCTTCCCCATTCCAATCTCCTTTCCAGAAGTATGAATTTTAGGAATTTTAGTATGAATTTCTCTAGACCTGAACTATCCTCTATGGAAGTGACTACCCACAGGTGGCTATTGAGCACTTGAAATATCCTAGTTGAGAAGTGCTATAGCATAAAATACACACCAGATTTTAAAAATTAGTATAAAAAAGAATGTAAATATCTCATATAATTTTTATACCAGTTACATGTTGAAATGACAAACCATAGGCACAGTGAAAAGATCAGTGGTTGCCAGGGAGTAAGGTGGGGGGAGGGACGAACAGGCAGAGAACAGAGGATTTTTCGGGGAGTGAAACTACTCTGCATGACACTATAATGGTGGGTACATGTCATTATACATTTGTCCAAACCCATGAAATGTACGAAACCAGGAGTACCTAATGTAAACTATGGACTTGGGTGATAATGACATGTCAATGTAGTTACACCAACTGTAACAAAAGTACTATTCTGGTGGGAGAGGTTGACACCAGAGATGGCTATGTGCATGTAGGGACAGGGAGTTTACTGGAAATCACCATACCTTTTGCTTAATTTTGCTGTGAACCTAAAATTGTTCTAAAAATAATATCTTAAAGGAAAAAAATAGATATATTAGGCTAAATAAAATATATTATTTAATATTAACTTAATTTCACCAGTTTAATTTTTTTAAATATAGCTACTAGAAAATATTGCTCACATTATATTTCTATTGGATAGCACTGCTCTAGACTCTAGATCATTTTTAGTGCATTTACACACACATATATAAGAAATATATAGCTTTTTGGTGTTTTAAAACATAAATATGCATTATTTTTATGCTTGTATTAATTTTTTTTAAAGTATAATCTTTACATGCAGTGGACATTAAATTAATTCCTTTCTTCCTCTCTTTCTCTTCTTCCTCCTTCCTGTCTCACTTTTATACTTGACAACCCACAAAGCCTTAGAGTGAAGGAAGTGATAATTATTCTTGGCCATACAAATGCTGAAGTGAGCACACCTAACACTGGGGTTAAATCAACACACAGGTATAGATTAACAAAAGGGTATCCCCTTCCTGGAGAAAAGAAAGTGCTAGTCAATGGAGGAGGGCTGTGGCCTTATCCAGTCCTAGACAAAAGACCCATGAGACAGCTGAAAAAATGACCAGTAGTTATTTTTTAAATAACTGGATCCAAATTTTCTATTCTTATCATGTCATCTGTTTCTCTCAGACATTTTTTGCAATAGGCATAGTCACATGACTTTATGTTGAGTGCCCACTGACTGCAAACTACTTACTACTAACTACTGTTTCAATTTGGTCAATATTGCCTACAATGTGCCACATCAGAACACTACCTCAGTGCAGCTACTAAATTCTGCAAGTTGCTTTAAATGAATGCTGATGGATGTGGTCTATGTGATCATTACTTTGCTAAGTTCTGAATGGTTGAAGTAATATTAAAAATATTTTATAATATATCTAAGAGATTTTATTCTAAGTAAATACCTGACATTGTCTAGTTCAGTAGATTCTGCAAAAGACCCCAACCACCCTCCCTCTGCCACACTCCTGCTTAAAAATATGGCTGAATATCCATAATTTACACAGTCTGCACTTGTGTAAATGTTCTGGGAGCACATACACATGCAGCACATTCTTGTGTTAGTCAGGAAGGGTGTTTATTGTGTTCTAGCAAGCCTTCAGCACATGCAAAACATTAGCAGCACTTACTTCACCTCAGTGTAGAACCTCCTTGAAGGCAGAGGAGAGAAAAAGAACATTAGGCATGAGCAGAGGTACTGTGGGAACTCTTACAATTTTCATTCCTTTGAGTGCTCCTTGGTGCTCTGCCCAATTTGGGTCCCTGTGGTTACATGCTGCCTAGATAAAGGACTGCAATTGAAGGTCTGTTTATTCCTTTGGCCACTCATTGCTGCTCCAAGACAAGCTTCCTTCCCACTGGGTAAACTGAGGCATTGGATAGGGGAGTCTTCAAAATTTTCTTTCAGTGGGTAATTCTCTGAGTCTAGCACACCAAGTATTCCTTGAGCAGACTGCATGGAAACTGTTTTAAATGCTCCATATTGATAAGACATTTTCAAAAAGTTTCTTTTTCTTGCCTCTATTCCTATCTTTTTCCTTTATTCAAGAAAGAACAGAGATAAAGCAGAACAGAAACAAAAACTAGGGGAATATAGAGATTTTCAACCTTTTCCGAAGTGGTATGTACTGCTATATTTAAGACAACCTTTTGAAACTTAAAAAAAAAAGAAAAATTTCCCCTGAATTAGCATTGACTTCATCTGAGTAGATACCATCTGCTGTAACAGCCCAACCCTGTCCCCCCAGGTCTTGGCAGCTACAGGTGAGTAGGGCCCCCCAATTTCCCCACACCCCTGCCCAAGAAGCTGCCAGGAAGCTCTCAGGCAGTATCAGCAGGCAGGAAGTGGGGTGGGAGTGAGGGGGTCTCCACCCATTAGCAGCTGCTTAAGCAGTAGGCAGAGAAACTTTTCTGCAGAAAAATCCAGATCAGCAGATACTTCAAGCCAATTTATACCACATGCTACCCAGTTGTGGAATTAAGTTTAAATGCTAAGAAAGGACCTAGAATGCCAATTCCCTTGTTTTCCCCCTTACCTTGTGCTTGGCACCCAAAAGAATCAAACAAGAACAATTGGATATGGCGGTTTAAAGGGGATTATTAGGCAACTGGAAAGTAGTGAAGGCAGCACACACCAAGGGAAGCTGTCTCCATGCAACATCATGTACCAGTGACTAAACGTCAAGACCCATCATTGCCCACGTGGTGACGTCTACACAGGTTTAGTAGTTTTGCTCATTCGCATTTAACCAAAAGACAAGTTTGACAGATTATCAGAATATTTTGGGGTGGGTGGCGGGTGGAGTGGGGAAAGGAGTGAGGTCATTTTAAAAAAATGACTTAGTTCTTTATTAAAGGCACAATAAAATTATCTCTTCAGTGGTTTTGCTACAGTCTATTGCAGTTCTGCGTGAAAGAGAAGTTTTGCCAGAAGTCAGGAAAATATTTCCAAACAAGTCATTATAGATTACACTAGAACTCTTAAATACAAATGTATAAACATTTGTTTGTCCATTAGATCTTGGTACATTTTTGTTAGTGCTTTCCTTGTGGAAGATATTTGACTTTTTTCTTGTGATACTTCCCTAACAATGATTTACTATGACTTTAATAAGTGAGTAAGAGCTGGTTCCATAATTTTATATGTATACTTAAAAATAATTTTGTAAGTGTTCCTCAACAATAGGAAAACATTAAATGGTTACCTCTGCAAATGTGTTCCGACTGGCTTGCAGGCCAACTTTTACTACCTCAAAAGGGTTAACTATGATGGCTTCTGTTAGTCCAGATCCCAATCCGGCAATGGCAAATGTCTAGAAAAATTAAATCAATCAATACTTTAAAACAAGTCATCATGTGTACTGGGTTAAGCATCCCATTCATTACACTATGCAGCTGAATGTTATAATGAGAATGGAGAAAGCTACACAAATGCACCATATACCATTACTAAACAGCTTTAGTTCTTGATTAGATGCTGACAATTCATGAAGAAGAAATTACAGAAGCCACAAACCACATCCTAACAATTTCAAAATAAAATGTCAAAGCCCCATCAACAACGACTTTTTCCTTTAACCAAAAGCAAGGTTGTTTTACTGTTTTAAGGTGGATACTAAAACATCTGCACATATAACAATTAAAGGAGACTTTGAATTGTAAAAAGAGAGCTTCATTTTTAAACATCTACTTAAATTCATTTATTGAGCATATAAAGAAATTCAAGGAGCAGAACCACAAATAAAATGTTTATATGAAAAGCTAAATTTCAGGTAACAAACAACGTAGCTGGAAATATTTAAATGTATAGTCATGTTCCTAGAGTTGTTATTCTAGACTATTAACAAATAAAAGTTATTTTTTATACATCCTTTCCCTATTTAAAAAACAACTGGTAATTACCTTATACTTCTGGGTCTAAAAGCTAAGAAATTAAAGCTGAGATCAGAAATGGCTAGGTTGTTTTGAAGGGCTCAACTAAAATCTAGAACATTTATCAAAGGATGATTCTATGTCAGGTTCTTATTTGCTATCTGTTAAAAGTTTCTGCAATAGGAAAAAACAGCTTTCTAGAATTTTCCTCTAAGTAGAATATTTAAGGGTTTTCCAGAAAATCTATATAAAAATAATCACAATTAAAACACACACACACACACACACACACACATATACACACACAAACAGCAGAAAAACAAAATGAAACAAAGCCCCCAACTGCCAAAACAGATGCTGGAAAAAAGTAATTCTTTAGTGCTGAACTTCCACTTCCAGGAGAAGAGGGAATACTATATACAACTAAAAGAAGAATAAAACCAATAAAGAGTAAAGAACATATAACTCTTATCAAGGGATAACGGGTCTCTAATATCTTCAAAACAGGAAACCAAAAGAGAGAAGGGAGAAAGGAATGTTCCATAACCTTAGAAGGGCAGGTAGGGTGGAATGAGGGCAGCATCCAGGGTTTAGGTCCTGGTTCTGTGGCTGATTGGCTGTGTGACCAGAGCTGTCTTGTACAGTAGTTTATACACAGACAAAGGTGCCTAGCCCAGGGTGCATGGAGGCTGAAATCCAGTTCAGCACATCCAAGCTGGACCCGTGGAGAATCATCAGACAGGAGAGAGGGGGCACCTTTTTTAAATTCTCACAAAGGCACCATGGGTGCTAGCTGTGGCTCTGTGTCTAAATCACTAGAACCTCTCACGAGCCACAATTTTCAAATCTGTAAAATGGAAATAATAATATCTAATTTCTGTACTCCATAAAGTTATTATGAGGTTCAAAATAATGTGTGAAAGCCTCTTGTAACACGCTATACAAACACCATTGTTCTTGCTGCACATAGAGAGGAAAAATAGGATTGCAAACAGATTCTAGGAGAGAGGGAATAACTAATTATGTTTTCTTTTCATCTCCCTTCATTATGATTTTAAACATATTTGTATAGGGTAACTAACCAAATACTTTATTCATTTAGCTCATACTTCCATCATGGAAGCCAAAAGCAGAAAAAAAAAAAAAATACTAGTCCCAAACTCTTCTGACTGGGAAAGCTAAAATCCAGATGTTCAAGTTTTTATTACTTACTATATGCAATCTTCCAAGTAATTCACTTTTTTGTTCTTCTATAAAACTCAGTTACATTTGCTGTCAGAACTAGTGTTCAGCAGTCCCTTGTCAAAAGAATTGATCAGATATCAACAGATTGTGTTACATAGATTGTTCCAGAGACCTGCGTTTACTGTTGGGTTTCCAGCCTCCTAGGCTTTTCATGTGAGAGCACAAGGGGACATTTAACAGCTGTTTAAGTATCTAGCTATATCAAAAAAGAAACTAGAATAAATGAGTTCAAGAAAAGAGAAGAACTGTATACATGTGTTTGGCTATAGTAGTCAGAGTGGCCGAATGCTTTTCTGTTTCAATACTCAATGGTCGAAAGACCTGCTGTCTCTCACATGGTGCCAATGCTCAACACAAGAACAGCCAGCTGGCCCTTTGGAGACCATATTTTATTGTCTCTTGCTAGGAAGTTTTAGATCTTCTTTTTGTCAAGATGTTTCCAACTTTAAGAATGACTTTAAGGGAAGACACCAAGAAATAAAAAGAAAAAATCTTAGCACATTTTGAGATTCGTGGTACCACTACTCCTTCCTAGGAGGCTGTGCCTGCCAGTCTTGTTAGGCAGAATCTAGACATGAAGTTTCTTTATCATAACAGAAAGTGATACTGTCTGGTTTCTTACCAGGATCCTGCCTGGAAAGGGCATGCATGATTTTTAAAATAACAGATACTTATTCTTGGGTAGTCTATTTGGCAGAGTAAATATTCTGAAATGAACCTTTACAAGTAAAGAGTTGAAGCTAAGAATACTGTCTCTCTGATTGAGTTTGAGGTACATTGCTGCAGGCAAACTCAGGCATTTTTCTAGAGGCTGAAGGGTACGTTGCCAATTGGAAAGGCCAATCAAGATTTTGCTTTGTTTTGTTTTGCAGACTTGGAGGGAGAAATTAGTGCATTTGCTATATAGGGTTCTTGTCGCACACACATTTGTAAAACCCACTGGTCAATACAATTTACCTTGTTTTGTGAAAAGCAGAAAAGTCACCAAGAAGGAGAGGAGTGGCATACGGAAATGATCAAATCACCAAGTGAACTTTGTGTCATATTTAAGATATGTCATTTTTAGATCACTGTTCTCCCTAGTTGAGTTGTTTACAGTCATTCCTACAAAAACGCCCTTCAGTCTGTGTCTGACCACAGAGTGATTTTATCCCGAGGGACCTGAACTCCTATATTTACTACAGCTGGAGCAAAAGCTGGAAAAGTGACCTGTTAGGAAATAATCTTAGGCATATTGACTTTTGCATAAATAGATATGTGCAATATGTGTGGAAACATATGTATGTTTTGGTTTTAAAAGAGTCTTTGATAAATGTACTCTTTATTTCATATTCTTGACCATATCTCATATAGGTCTTTCCAGACATATCATTATAATCATAAATTTATCATTGGGAGCTATAAAATAGCCAAATTGTGAGTTATTAGGAAGATGGCTTTCAACAAGTAGCTGAACATTGAATAACTTGAATTCATATTTTAGTAGCTGGGCTTGGGGAATCAAAAGGGTTTTTGTTTCTAGATTTTGCTTTATGAAATAACACACACACTTAAGTATAATAAATATTCTCACTTACCAATGCTGGTGACAGTGACACATATCCCAGCAATTTCTTGTACTGCTCAAAGGTGAAAAACTGTGAAACAAAACCAAACCCAAAGATTTATAACAATTTCCTGCAACAAACTCTTTAATTGACTCAAATTTCTTTAGTAAATCATTATATTAACCAGCATTTCAAAAATGATAAACCATCTAACACAGTTTTTAATCCTGTCTTGAGTAGTTGCTATTGGATCTTACTTTAACATTCACATTTTCAAATGCAGTTAAAATAACCTACAGAAGAGCTGATGGAATCCTTTAGAGCAGTAAATGAACCATACAACTTCCATTTACCATGACCATTTTCAGTTTCCCCAGACATTAATAGACTTCTTTTTTATGGCAGTGATTCAAAATTATAGGCGTATAGACCTGAAATCTTTGGTCTCCTATGTTTTCTCTATGAACTGCTTTCCCAGTGCGTGCCCAATTTTCTGACACACTTGTAAAAGACATCCACTTTTCAGCCTTAACTTGTATTTATATTGCAGTGTCTCCCTATTGTTCTATGGAATTTTAAAACACTAAATGATCATGAAGATGCCATGATAAACTAAGGAAGGACCCAATGAGGTTATCTAGTCCATCTCCTGCCTTAAAGCAAGACTGTCTTCAACCTGAATGAAGAAAGAGAGCTGCTTATTCCTTCCTTTAAAATATGATGATGAAGATGACAAAGATGATGATATTGATGGTGAAGATGATATTGATGGTTGATTCATTCAGTAGATGAAGTTTAACATAATTTTCTCTGCAAATAAAATTTTGATGGAGGCAAATCTACTCTATCACTTCATATATACATGTTTTCTCCTCTCTTTTTATAGTCTACATTTTGGGCAACAAGTCTGCTTAAAGATGGTATTGTGTTCCTGGGACTCAGTCGAGTAGCCGCAGATAGGACACACTCTTCAGTCCTGCTAGGGTCTGATTTTCAAGACCCAAGAAATGGCATGGGCATTACATGGTCCTGAATGTTTTCTACACTATTACTTAATAGTCCATTAAAATAAGGCAAGAAAAGAAATATAGATTTGGGGGAAAAATAATACTCTGTTGTTAGAAAGAAGTGGTTCCTTGTAGGCATGGCCTTAATGAGAGCTTGAGCAGCCCAACAGTCATTATAATATCAGATAAATTTTGATTGTTTTAAGGACTCAGGAACTACTTCTGTGCCATGGTCCTTTACAACAACTATGAATGTAGACTTTTCTAGAACAAGGATCCTAGAAAAGAACCATTTATTCATTCATTTACTCATTTAATAACTATTAGAGGACTCCCATTCTAGGCACTGGGGATCCAGCAGTAAACAAACAAAGAGAACCCTGGCCTTCTTGATCCAACATTCTAACCGATGGTGATAGCCCAGAAACTATCCTGGTGTTAAAAGAGTGCTTACCAGGGACCACCACTGTTTTGATGAGATATGCACTAGATATCATTGTACTCGTGAATATCCTGATATGCACTATAGAAACTATTAAACAAGGAAGAAAAAGTGTTACAGACTTTAGGTTTTATTTTATTTTTTAGGTTTTAAAGGTAATTTATTTTTCTTACTTTTTATGATCATCATCATTTTGACCATCATTTTGCTGGTATTTTAAAGTGAACAGTCCTGTACCTGAATCCTGGCTTTGCTATTTATCTGTGACAGTGTGGGAAAGTTGCTTAACCTTTCTGACCCTCAGGAACACAAAACTTACCTTTTAGATTTAGAGTTGTTGTTAAATAAGAAAATTTAAGTAAGATTCCCTGACATACCTGGAACATATGAGACTTTCAGAAAATCTTAGTTTCCATTCCCTGTCTTCACTTGGGTTACCAAAAGAATTATTATATGTATCACTTGTGGGAGCCTACTATGGTCCAGGAAACAGCTACTGCATTTAAGCCACACAAAAAACATCACCAGATAAGAGGCTATAATAGTACAATCATGAGTCCCATTTTATAGATATATGTCCTGCAGCTAGTTGAGTGGGAGGACTGAGATTCCTCCTAAGTCTAAATACAAAGCTTGTGTATGCTCTAAACTCCATACTGTACTTACTCACTGTTATGCCATGATCGACAGTAGTTTGGGAAGAGGGTCCCTGCCCTAGGATTTTATTGCTTCTGGGGATGAAGTCTTCTTGCCTTCCACTATACCTAAGACAGCTACATGGACCCTGGAAGCCATGAAGTCCTTCAAGGCAGAAGATTTCAAACTTTTTGGACCACAATCTACATTACAAAATATTTGTTGAACACACACACACACACACACACACACACACACACACACACACACACACACACTTAAACACAGGTGGGCTTGTATTTATAACTGAAATAAAACATTACTATACAAGAATATTTACTCCCCTACAATGTATAATGCACTGTTTCTATTCTATTTCATTTTTTTTAGTATTCTGGTAATGACCCATTATATCTAGTGACCCATTAAATTGATTTCACAATCCACGGGTCATGGCCTACATTTTGGAACTGTTGCTCCAATGGGAGCCCACACCAGGACTGGGTTTGGGGAAGGTCTGGAAGATGATGGATCCCACAATATACAAGGGCCTCTATATCTTATTAGCTTCCAATGTGAAGATGCATTTGTTTGTTGGTTGTTTCTTTTTATTTCTAGCATCTAGCATTATTACTCCATCTTTTTATTTCTTCTGTCATTATAGACAGAAGAGATTAAGGACCAAACTGGAATCTCAAGGAAAAAGTCTGGGAATAAAGAAGGCCTATAGGTCAAAGTGATGAATTCCTAATGTACTAAATTCAAAAGTAATGAACAATACATTATCACATATTCTTATAAGTAAGTGGTGCTTCAAACTAAAAAAAATCTTATTTTAATTTCTGTCTTTACCACCAAAATCTAATTTACTGAATATAAAATAAAATAATATCTCAAGAAAAAGCTAAAATCTTTTAAGATGGATTTTCAATAATAATATAATAAATTAATGTAGATTTCTTCATTGTCATTTAAAACCAACATTTACTGAAAACATTCATTCATTCATCCATTCATTCAACACATATTTATCAGATATCTCCCATGTTCAAAGCTTAGGAAATATTATACTAGAATATATTCTTAAGAACTAATTAGATTAGCTGTTATGTTAATTCCTATTTATGCAACACTACTCCTTTCTGTCTCTCATGGTATTACTCAGCCACAGCATGTGTTAATGCATAGATGTGATGAAAAGTACCCTATCATCTAAGGTATGAGGTTACACTCTAAGGATGAAATTATGAAGGTCAACATGAAGTTACTTACTCAAAGTCATGCAAATGTGTGACTAAGGAGTTTTGAAAACATTCATACTCCATCAAAGGTTTGGGAACCTTGAATATAAAATCTGTGATTCAAATTAATTATGCTATATATAGCCTATATACTGGAATCTAGAAATTGGTAATCTGGCTGGGTTTACAGGCCATGTGGTCCCTGAAGAGATATCAGGCTGTGGAAGGGCAGGGGAGGTCAGTACACTGCCTGGCTGAACCAGCACTCCACTTCTCCCTGTACTTTCAATCCATGCTCACTAATCAATCTGGTGATTAACCTGACCTTTGAGATACTTTGTTCTGGGATGCAGTTAAATTACATGGAAGCAGTTTGATCCATCTGACTCTTGTATTTAGCCAGTGAGACTGGAGTAGTGGTTAGTCTAGGGCTAATTCTTCCCTACCACTGGGGCAACACCCTTCTGAGCACTCCTCTCAATGCCCTGTGAATTTCGAGGCTTTCCAGTTTGGCTGGTGGGAACAGGCATTATTCCCAGCCCTCTGTGACTGCTGAGAGCCATTTCCTTTAATTCTTTTGGCCAGTTCTTTCCCAGGCCTTGGTAGTTTCCACACAGGCACGCTCTGGTCAGTACTCAGCTGAATACTTGAAGGGTCCCTCGGCAGATCTCAGGAGTTCTCTCTCTGTGCAGCTTGTTCTTCCCTGGTACTCTTTCCTGTGAAGTCTAGCTGCCTTGCTCTTTCGTGTCTCTCAGCTCCTTCTCAACCCAGGGAGCCCACAGGGCTCTGCCTGTATTTCCCATTCCTGCCCTGGGGCCTGGAAACTCTCTCAAGGCAGTAAACAGGGGCAATCACAGGACTCATGTCATTTGTTTCCCACTTCTCAGATATTATTATCCTTCACTGTCTGACGCCCAGTGTCTTGAAACTGTTGTTTCTTACATTTTGTTCATTTTGTTGTTGTTTCAGGTGGGAGAGAAAATCTGGTCCCTGTTACTCCATCTTGACCAGAAGTGGAAGTCTTGGCTCTTTAGATACTCAGAATAGTAGATGTGGGAATTTTCTCTCTCTATATATAACGTTTTTTTTTTCTGCTTCTGTCCATATTTTTTTCCTGTTTTTCTTTATGTTTGTTTCATTTATTCATCTTATATTAACTGAACATCCCACAAGTTCTAATCTTTTGTGAGTTTGGTTAGCATAAGGCAGTTCTTGAGAATCTGAACATGGAAAAATGACATTTCTGGATCTGTGAGGCTCTCAAGACAAGACCCTGTAAACTTAAATATAGTAACTCCCACCTCTGAGGGATCAGTTGGTCTCTATCTGAGGTCTTCATTTCCTTTTGCTAAATAAAATACTAATTCTAATTTGCGAAAGGAGACATTTCATTTATTTAGCACCAGTGAGTCTTATTATTTTAATGATGACTCTCATTTCAAAGAATAAAGTACAGAAAAACTTAAAATTATCTGTTTCTGATCATGGTAACGATTGTAACTGAAGTATCAGTAACAAGGAATACACACACACACACACACACAGTCTCTGAATATTTTTTTCTGAAGTAAACTTTGATGACACACAACGAAGCAGTTTATGATGTATGAAATCGCTACAATCAGGTGATTGCTTTCCTCACAAATCCTAAGATAAATATCTATAAAATGAATGGTTTCATAAATTGTGTTGAAAAAGTAGTGTTATCCATCTGGCAAAGATACACTTAACTCCAAGTTATACTTAAAAAGCCAATGTACTTACCATATGTCTCAATAATTTTAAGGTAAAATCTACTTGAAACAAGATGTCTGGGACACATACACCATATCCAGTTGCCCAAAAGTTCATCTGTTAACCATTGTTCTGGCAGCGAGCATTGCTTTTTTAAAGTAGAGACTAACTCAGTTTTGTAAAGCCTAACTTTTTTTTTTTCCTGTAAAAGATTGTTCAACGTTGATAAACCTTAATCCTCTTAAAGATTAAATGGTCTCCAATATATGGTATTAAGGAAAAATATTCCAGGAAAAACTCCAATTATAATTTACTTTATTTATACATGTAAAACACTGAACAAATGAATATATTATTCCATGGAGACAAAGTGACTTTCTTTTTGAACAGGAACTCTGCTCTGTTTGTTTACTTGGGCAATCTTTTATCAAGCAAAGCCATTTCATAATTCAATTCGGCTCTTTTGTGTACTTTGGTGAACTTTTTCCAGATTCTCCACCATGATTCAGATCCTTATAATGAAATTTGTATTGAAGTAATATTCTAAAATCACAAAACCTATAGCAACAAAGAGGATGAATTTACAGAGAAAGTACGTTCTAAAGCTTTGTTTTCTACATTCTAGACTTGAATTAAATCCTATTAAGTTACTATTTTGACATAATGTAAAAGTTTGATGTTTGTATATATATGTTGGTTATTTTATCAGAATTTTTAACCCAGTCATCCTCTTGTCTTACTGAATAAAAGTATATGGGCTGTTCCTTCTTGCCTTTTAGGAGCACTGGGAATACAAATTGAGTAATGTATGTGAAAAAAGCTTTATGTTAGTTGGAAAGGAAGTCTTTTAGTCGAAGTTTATGTTATCATTATTATGGAAAGACAAAACCATATTTAGTGATGTCGGTGGTGTATGGTAGGGGAGAGTGTCAGAGTCACTATGATTGGGACCTTTGTCTGAGAGAGGATTTAAAAAAGGCATCAGATTTAGTTCCTTTGGCCTTGGAGGTTCTGCCAGATCTCCGTGTTCCTATTCATATACTCAACTAGCAAGTAGTACATAAACCTCCACAGTTATATGGTTAAAGAAATGGAAATCAGGGTAGTGGAAGTAATAATTGTATAAGAACCAGAATAGAGAATTTTAACAGAGGAGACCAAGGGAAAAAATGAAGTTGGCATGCCAAATAAATATGTTATATGAGAATCATATGCAAAGAAATATGGTGTATTAGTTCACTCTGTTCATAAAATGGGAATGATTTAGGGAGAAAGGTTTTTCTAACCTCTCTACTCTCCTCTCCTCTTTTTCTCCCCTTTTTAAAATAATTATTGCTCCAAAGGAAAATTTCTGAACTGCTTTGAGAAAAAGTCCAAGCTATTTTGTGGTTTAATTACATGAATTTCATTTAGTATGTTGTTTTTTGAATACTTTCCCCATTAGAAGAAAGTGCTTTCACCGGAAAAAAAATCTATAAATTGATATACATATTGGAGACATTGATCAAATTTAATTATAATAAAATCATGTATAATTTATGCATTAAGGTTTTTAGTGTTTTATGTTTAATTCATATTAATGTCCCATGGTTTGTTGTGCAATGCTTTAATGCTAAAGCTGCTAGCTTGTGATGTTTAATGATGTACCCTGTTTTCACTTGGTAGGAAGGCATACATGCTTACTTACCTTCACTGCTCTTTTTGGTGTTTCAACCAAGATGGGTGGTAGAATTCCCTTGTAAAAACCAAACAATCTGTTGGAGAAATAATAGATTTTATATAAGTGAGGGAATTAAGAAACAGTTAATTCTGCCTTTGTTTATGGATAAAGCACTAATTCTAAAGTATTTCTAATTATTCATTGTAGCACACCAATCACGAGGTTTTCCTTTGTTTTAATTTTAAAGTATAAACCTGACCCACAGTCCCTGTGCTGCCAGAGCCATCCCCCACCCACATGGCTCCACCTCTGTGGTTCTGCACTGTGGTCTGATGTCATGGCCCTGCCCATAGAGCTCGTGCCCTGCCTCCAGGTCCCAGCTCCAGCTCTGATCCTTCTGCTGTGCCTGGGTCCCAGGCCCCACCTACAAGGCCTCATGGTAGCTGCTGGGATCACAGCTCTGCCCCCTGAGTTTCCAGTGTTGCCTCCAGGGCCCAAAGCTCTGCCCCTGTGACTCCAGTGCTCCTGCTGGGTCCACGACTCCACCCTGGAGAATCCAGTGCAGTGCGTGGACTCCAAGACCCTGCCCTTAAGTCCTCATCATGGCTGCCGGGCCTGCCGAACCACCCCAAGGTCCAACGCTCTTTTGGGGACCTCTCTGCCGTGGGCTGCCATTATACCTGGACATAGTTCAAGCAAATGCCCACAGCCCAGACACTCTGGGGGGAGACACTAGGCAGAGCAATCCCCCATAATGCCAGCCTCCATGGAGAGAGTCTCACCCAGCCCCAAAACTCAATTTTCCAACAATGATCTGGGGAACAACTCACTACCCCACATGAAGATCATCCAGGACTGACTTGAAATGTGACAATCACAGGGGATAGGGACAAAACAGAACAGCTGCACTACACACTCTCAGTGTACCCTCCCCTCCCCTGCTGGGTCAACATTCCAGACTAGGACACAAAAGCACCAACTAGGGACCTCTCTTTCTTCTCACCAAGTAGGAGAATTCTCAGCAAAGAAGAACAGGTGCCCTGCAGACCTATCAGCCCTGTGCTGAGAGAAGAAGATTCATATGAGAAGCAACCAGCAAAAGAACTCTGGCAACATGAAAAAACATAACAGTTAGATACCTCCAAGGGCACAATGGATGTATCGTACTAGACCTCAACCAAAAGGAAATTGTTAAAATGTCAGAAATGGAATTCAGAATATGGATGACAAATAACATGAATGGAAATGAAGAGAAAGTTGAAAACCAACGAAAAGAAGCCCCCCCAAATTTCAGGAAATCAATGAAAAAAATGAAAAAGTTGCTAAAGAACTAGACAATGTAAATAAGGCTATAATAGAACTTAAAGCAATAAAGGAGTCATTTAGGAAATTTCAAGATACAACAGAAAGCTTTAACAACTGGTTAACCCAAGCAACAGAAAGAATATCAGAGCTTAAAGACAAGGGTGTCAAACTAATTTAGCCATTCCAAGAGGCAGAAAAGAGAATAAAAAAGACTGAAAATCACTCAGGGAAATATGGGACTATGTGAAGCAAACTAATATATTAATACGAATTATAGGTATCCCTGAGGGAGAAGGAGAAAGAGCAAAAAACATGGAAAATCTATTTGAAGGAATTACTGAGGAAAATTTCCATGGTATTGCTAGAGATTCAGATGTTCAGATATAAGATGGTTATTAAACACCAGGGAGATTAATAGGAAATAGGACATCTCCAAGACAGATAGTAATCAACTTAGACAAAGTCAAAATGGAGGAGGAAATTCTACAAGCAACAAGATGAAAGCAACAACTAACCTACAAAGGAAAACCAATCAGGCTAAAAACAGACCTCCAAGCAGAAACCTTACAAGCAAGAAGGGATTGGGGCCCCATCTTTAGTCTTCTTAAACAGAACAACTGCCAGCCAAGAATCTTATATCCTGCAGAACTCAGTTTCATAAATGATGGAGAAATGAAGACTTTTCCAGACAAGCAAACACTGAAGGAATTTGTCATGACTAGACCTGCACTACAAGAAATACTCAGAATTGCATTATACATGGATCAGTACAATAGTTACCCATCAGTGTAAAATCACCCAAAAGCTAAAACTTACAGCTTGTATAAAACAATATCACAAGAGGAAAAACAAAGCAATAAAGTACCACCTAACAGGATGAACAGAAGAGCATCCTACATATCAATGCTATCACCCACATAAATGGTCTGAGCGTTCCACTCAAAAGACACAGACTGGCAGAATGGATGAAAAAACACAACCCATGTATCTGCTGTCTCCAGGAAACACATCTAACCCTCAAGAACTCACACAGACCAAGGTGAAGGGATAGAAAAAAATATTCCATGCAAATGAAACCAAAAGAGAGCAGGTGTAGCCATTCTCATATCAGATAACAATCATCCCATTTTACAGATGAAGACACTAAAGCTTAGAGAGATTCATGTTCAAGGCTACATAGCTACTAAGTGGTAGAACTAAGATTTGAACTATTAATAGGATCCAATTCCAGATTTAAATGTTTGGTGAACATTGATGATAGTTTATATTTTTCTACTCAGATTAAAAACAACCCCATTAAAAAGTAGGCAAAAGACATGAACAGAAGCTTTTCAAAAGAAGATAGACTAATGGCCAAGAAACATATGAAAAAATGCTCAACATCACTAATCATCATGGAAATGCAAATTAAAACCACAATGATATATCATCTTACCCTTAACAGAATGGCTATTATTAAAAAGTCAAAAAACAGGCTGAATGTGGTTGCACCTGCCTGCAATGCTAGCATTTGTGAGGCTGAGGTCGGAGGACCATGTGAGGCTAGGAGTTCAAAACTAGCCTGAGCAAGAGCGAGAGCCCATTTCTACAAAATTAGAAAAAATTTTCCAGGTGTAGTGGCATATGCCTGTATTCCTAGCTATTTGCAAGGCTGAGGAAAGAGGATCACTTGAGCCCAGGAGTTTGAGGCTGCAGGTAACTATGATGACACCTCTGCACTGTAGCCTGGGTGACAGAGCAGGATTCTATCTCAAAAAAAAAAAAAAAAGTCAAAAAACAACAGATGTTGGCATGTATAAAGAGAGAAAGAAACGGCTTGTCTTATACACTGTTGGTGGGACTGCAAATTAGTACAACCTCTATGGGAAAAAGTATGGAAATTACTCAAAGAAATAAATATAGACTTTCCCTTTGACCCAGAAATTCCATTACTGGGTATCTGTCCAAAGGAAAAGAAGTCATTTTATCAAAAAGACACTTGCACTCAAATGTTTATTGCAGTACAATTCAGTCACAAAGATGTGGAATCAATCCAAGTGCCCATCAATTCATGAGTGGATTAACAAAATGTATTATATATTTACCATGGAATACTATTCAGCCATAAAAAGGAATGAATTAATGTCTTTTGCAGCAATTTGTATGGAACTGGAGACCATTACCCTAAGTGAAGTATCTGATAAATGGAAAAACAAACACCACATGTTCTCACTAATAATTTGGAACTAACTGATGGGCACACATGGGCACAGAGAAAAGTAAAAGTAATTGGAAGTCAAAAAGGGGAGGGGGGAAAGGAGTGGAGGGGTAAAAACCTACCTATCAGGTACAATGAACACTATTTGGGTGATGGGTACATTAATGGCCCTGACTTAAGCATCATAAAAGCTATCCGTGTAACAAAAACATTCGTATTTCCTTAATATTTTGAAATAAAAACAAAACCAAAACAAAAGTATAGGTATGAATTCTATGTTTTAATGAGCATTATGATATTCAGAAGATGCATAAATGATACTGAGATTGGAATCCTATTGGTAAATTGCTAAACATGACCATGAGTTATACCTTAAAGATGGTGTTGACCCTCCTTACTCTGAGGAATCTTGAGTTTATTTTCTCAGTTGTGTGGTGGGAAGCTTCAAGCTATCCACAGTCTTACATTTCCTCCCTTGGGTACCCAAATGAGGTTAAGGGTTATACCCAAGCCTGCTAGATTGAACCTTTCTGAGACTAATAAGACGATGAAATCTTCAATTTGGCTTTACTAACACCAGGGAAGTAACAAGCTCTGTGGCTGTGGTACTAGAGCTCCCAGCCCTGTCCTGAATTAGTCATAACTGTTTAACTTCCTTAATGTAAGTGGAAGGAGGTTAGGGAGGGCCGGTTATAGGAATATGTGCTGCTGACAGAAGAAATATCAAACTGCCTTGCTGATTGGCAATCTCACAGGGCATGGGCTGCTCTCGTTGTCAATGGATCACATATTCAGACATTTTTAGAAAAAGATCCAAGTATGAGTGACATATGCTTATAATTAGATTTATAAAGCCACCACTTATTTCTTATTAGATTTTAGAATTCAAAATTTTAAATTCCTCTGCCCTAGAGTCTTCACATATATGTCATATCCTCATTTAAAACCTGAAAAAATATATACAAATAGAAGATAATATTATACATTATTTTCTGGGGTAATCAGTTTCCCTGGATGGTCCATAAGTGATACAGATAAGGGCAGGGCCCAACATGTCCCTGTTTTGAGACCTCATTTAACATGGGGCTGGAGCCTCTCTGATTGACCCTCAAACTTCACTCCAACTCCCTTAAATTGTGTCTGCTCCTAGCTGTGTTTCTGGAACACAGTTAGGAGTTTATTTAGATTAACCCACTGTGCTGCTCAACCCAACATGGGGATCTCCTGCTCTTCCTGGATTCAGTGGCTTACACAGCACCTTTCAGTGAGGGGGGCAAAGCTCATCTTTGGAGCTTCTAAATGGTGAGCTACTTGAGGGCAAGGTACCCCAGGGATTCTTACCAAGAACAAAATATTTGTTAAGCATATGGATTTCATAAGGAGGGAAAAAGAAACCAAAGGATCCCCTGATATGGGCATCCTCTGCTCAGTATTTTTGACTTAATGGATAGCATTAGCATTATGAATAGGAAGTAAAGCAGAAATGATTTGGAGAGCTATGGGAATTCATGAATTGTCCCCATTCCCGTTCCACTGCAATTTTAACTAATGATGCCTGAAATTCTCAAATCAACACAAATTTCCTCTAGACA